GGTGACTCTGTTGCCGGTGATCTCCAAAGTACTTGAGCGACTGGTGGCAAACAAAATCATTAAACACTTAGAGGAAAACGGATTGCTTTCGGCTGCCCAGCATGGTTTCAGAAAAAACAGATCCTGTCTGTCCAATCTCCTCATTACCTTAGACGACTGGACGCAAGCTGTGGACAATGGAAATCCCGTTCACGCATGCTATCTAGACATCTCCAAGGCATTTGATCGCGTGAACCATAACATATTGTTACAAAAACTCGAGCATTATGGTATTACGGGAAAGCTGCTGGCTTGGCTTGAAATCTATTTGGCTGACCGAGACGCGCGTGTATGTGTTGACGGCGCTCTGTCCAAGCCAATTGCAGCTACAAGTGGAGTACCCCAAGGCTCCGTTCTTGGGCCTACTTTATTTTTATTATACGTAAACGATATACCTGAGCTCGTGAGCAGTAAAATCACTTTATTCGCGGACGATATCAAGATATGGTCAAGCATACGCACCATTGAAGACAGTCACCGATTACAAAAAGATCTCGATACACTTTATGATTGGTCACTGAAAAACAGACTACCGTTTAACCTCCAAAAATGTAAAATGCTCCGTGTAGGGAAGCCCTTTGCATATAACTATACGTTGGGTCCACAACCACTTTCTTGGACTAGTGAAGAAAAAGATCTTGGCGTGTGGGTCAGCAGCTGTTTAAAAAACTCCTTGCAATGCACAGCCGTCTACAAGAGGACCTCACAAGTCCTGTCGCTCCTAAAACGGATTTTTGGTCGTTTCACTCGACTGGCACTGCCCCGAGTAATCAATACCTACATCCGACCAACCATGGAATACGCTATACAAGCTTGGTCACCATGGCTTCAAAAAGACATAATTCTTCTACAGCGAATATATCATCGAGCCACGAAGCTGGTAATTGGATTGCAAAATAAACCATACGAAGACAGGATTGCCAGTCCCAACCTATTTGACTTCTACTATCGGCGCATCAGGGGAGACCTAATTCTAACATATAATATACTGAAGACACCTAATTATCCGCTGGAAAATCTTTTTGTCCGACGTCGACCACGAACGGGCAGGAGGCATGACTTTTCGCTCGCGGTACCCCACTCGTGGGTGAACTGTCGACGGAACTTTTCTGCGGTCCGTGTATGTTTCATTTGGAACTCCCTACCTCCCAATGTTGTACATTCGCCGAGTTTAACCATTTTCAAGAACAATTTAGATGCATATCTTCTGTCCAAACCGAATCTGGAACTGTTTAACTCCATGTGATACTCAGTTAGCATTACGCATATTTTTGCGTCCCTTTGTATATATACGTTCACCCTATGGTCGTTGTAAAGTTAATTGCTTTTTAGACCATTAAACCTTGAATTACCTTGAATTACCTTGAATCACGCTCGTCATCGAATGAGTAACCCGTCTATCTCATGTCTATCACAGAGTAATCGTAACAAGGTTACCTCGTCAGTCAGATACTTAAGGTTCTAACCCAGACGCAGCACTGATGGGCTCTAGTGAGAGCGAAACTCGAGTCCGTCGTTCTTCTTCTTTGGTGTAAGCTCACTGGAATAAATACGTCAACACATGCAGAGGACTGTTTAAACAAGAGTAAGGTGAAAGCAATTTCTATAAATCCTGCAATCTCCTGCAACCGACATTCGTTTCGTTACATTGTAAGCCTACTGAAAATAAAGAGATAGCTTATTACCTATTGATCAGGTAGCTATTGATCTATTCGCCGGACTTGGAAATTGACTTACCCACCCAACTGCACTGATTATGCCTCCTCGTAAGATGACGAAACGTCTGCAACCCGATTGCAAGCTCGGCGAACAGATCAAAAGCCACCTGATCAATCAACATTAAACTTATCCAAGCTAACAATATTTCAACATACTACCAGAAGCAAGAGCTTTCTTCCGCGGCCTCAAGTCGCTGTTCGAAAATTAGGACATATTCTTTGTTTCACATAAAGTTCGGACAGTCTATGCTAAGCTACTTTGCATCATAAGCGGATGGCTTGAAGTTGAAGAACGTCTGGTCAACTTAGCTAGCCATCATTCCTAGATTACAGGTATCGGACTAGTGTATTATGCACGACCATCATCTAGAAACTAAATCAGGGTTAAAATCAACAAGTTTTTTTTAGATTGATAGCTGGTTGTCAGCGTTCCGCAAATTTTATAAGATTCGAAGTGCTAGACATAAGCCGATGACACGGATTTCGCGGGTGGTTTGTGAGTAAATATTTACATCTGTGCATAACATGTCTAGCTTTTATTTCGTAAAACACTGTATAGAAATGCTTCGAAGTTCAGTCAAGTCGGTGACACACGTAGTTTGGCTCGATTGACGGTCTGGAACACAATTCTCGGAGCTTAAGGAAATGGGTGGAGCTAATGGCGCACATCAAAATAGCAAGTAAATATATATTTGCAGGTGAAAGTGATGAGAAATTCACTATCACTCGCAGTCCTATTTGAACTTTTAGGACTCTAGTACTAACCGCTAGTTCAGTCTGTAAGTCTAAATGGTATCTAGATATCAGTCCTATGGATGAGACGGCACCTTCCGTGCCCCATATTACTAGGGCTAGTGTCGTTCCATTCTTCGCCATCTTCCTCACATCCCATTCCATACTGTTTGTATGGATAAGGCATTTAATCTAGGGTCTTCGGATAGTTGCAGCATTTAACATGAAAATCACGTACGACTTATTGTGGTAGGGTGATAGCGACCTATGTGCTCTTTCATAAAAATGGATGATGGATTGCATCGGTTGCAGGCAAGTAGATCGTGCAGCTGTGTCATGCAACTCATCATCATCATCATCATCATCATCATCATCATCATCATCATCATCATCATCATCATCATCATCATCATCATCATCATCGACAGCATGGACATCAGTGTCAACACCGATACTTCACTGCCTGACAACTGTGATTCATTTGAAAGCTTTATTGTGAAGAAAAGAATAAAGGTAAACAGGGAAGGGACTTAGTGCCAGCTTACTGCAATCATTCCCAGGTGCCTACACTTCCAGACACTCATATCAGCAGTATGGATAGAAAATGACAACATGAACGCCACTGACATCGGTTGGTAGCCATATTTTTCAGTGTCTTCAACCAGGTGCAGTGGGAATTACGCGATCCCCATCGTGGAAGGCGGGTAGCACCGACCGCACCCCTTCATACCTCTCTGCCAGGTCAGGGACTAGCCACCTCTCTGCTTCCGCTACTCTGAGTTGGATACGGAAAATAGCACTCTCTTCGGCAAACAATAGTTAGGCAAATGCAGTACATGATCCAAGAAAAGTAGCTTCTGATGCGGAGCATATTCTTCAATGAAAGTCCACATTACACAAAAGAGAACTCACTTTCTGAGTGCCTCGTTAAGAATACACCGACACCAAACAAAATGTGCTTTCGTTGTAAAATAACGGTTGTTGTACGTCTGAGTACGTCACACTTGCGATGCTTGAAAAGGCCAAGTCACATGGTCATACAATAAAACAGGCTGCAATGTACCCTGTTGTACACGTCTCTTGAGACTCATGGAAACACCAGTTTGACACCGTAGTTTTCTCAAATAAGCGAGAGCCACCAAAGCCCTGTAGATTCGTGCATCGACCCCACCTGTCGCACTACAATCAGAAATAATACAGCTTTCAGCTCCACAACTTCCAGTACCTCTCCCTGGATTGTAAGAGGCGTATTCAGTGACCGCATATCCCCGAGCATGAACTTACACTTTGTGGGCGAAAAATACATACCAAAGAACTGGATGACTTTGGTTGGTACATCCAAAAACACCTGTACCTTCCCCTCTTCGAAGATGAGGACGATATCGTCTGCATATTCCAGATCGATAAGGTTTTCGCCATCGGCTATTTGAACACCAGGGTTTTGAGGACCTTCTGGAGTTCGTCTCATGATTTCATCAGTCACGAAATTAAAAAGGATTGGATTGAGTTGGAATGCCTGACGGACACCGCTTTGTGTACGGAAATTTTTGGAGAACTCGCCGTATACTCTCACACGTCAGGAAGTCCGATAATATAAAGAGCTTATTATGTTCACGAACTTCCGGGGCATTCCTTGATGGGCAAGCGTATCAATAAGAACAGACCGGTAAACCGAGTCAAATGCGCCTTGGATATCCAAGAATATTAGAATTGTGGGTAGCTTATACATATGGCGTTGTTCTAGCACCTGACGAAGTGTGGAGGTTTGGTCAACGCAACCCTTACCAGGCCGGAATCCCGCTTGTTGTCCTCGAGTCAGTGACATGCGAGCCACCATAATACAACAAAGCACCAGTGACGCCGACAGTCTCATTACGACCCGGATTAATTTGATCCCCTGTGGTCGCCACACTCACTACGAGTCCCTTTTGTTTGAAACGGGCACTATCACCGATTCTCCCAAGTTGTCTGGGATGGACTCCTTTTCACAATTGCAAGCAGGCCGAACAAGCGCTGACTGAGAACCTTACTTCCATTTTTGGACAATGTGGGTGGGAGGTCATCCGGACCAGAAGCTCGGTGGCACTTGAGAGAACATATGCAGTCGTAAGCCTCCGAGGCCGTAAGTGACTCTATTTCACCATCCACGGTTTCACGTCAACTCTGGGCTCTAGTTGAATGGCAGCTAGTGGCCACGAAAATTGCCGTTCGAAATATTCGGCCCGTCGGTCGAGGCGTTCTTTATCCAAGATAGTCACTTCTTTCCGATCCTTGAAGGTTTCGCTCATAGGTGGTTTCCGGAGGCCGATCGAAAGGCTTAACTGAAATATACCCATTGTAGTCATGAGAACGAAGAAGGTAGCGAACAAAGCTTGTTTTCTGTGATTGTTCATCTTGGCTAATACATCACAAATTTATATGGTAGCAGAAATCACGTGGAAAAGGATAAGATCGGGGCTACACTTTAGAGAAATAGAAGTCAAAGGAAGGGGGTTGGGTGAGGGGTAGGTCAATGGGTCATGACGTCAATGTCAGACAGACTTGTGGGACCAGATGTTTCGTAGGCCAGTTCAAGTTCAGAGGTCACACAAGTTTCTTCTGGATGCAAAGTTGTGGATCCAGCAGTCGGATTCCTATCGCTTCTGCGATCGATAGTAGTTTGGATCGTACCAGTCGTGGTCCGTTCAGAGGTACTCGGTATATGATGGTGAAGGCTTGCTCCTTGTCTATGATATGACAGGTTTCGGCCAAGTGTGCTGCAATTGCTGCCGCAAACTGAAATAATCTTCACTTGACGCCTGATAGTTCTCCGCTTCGGTTTGTGTTCGGGACGGGCTGAGATATTTCTCCGGGATTTAAGCAGTGCTACTCTTCGGTCTGATATCCAGGGTTTGCATGCGCCTGATGGGGCCGTGCCACAGGCGAAATTCCAAACACTATGCAAACAGGTGTCAATCTCGTTCCAGCATGCGTTCGAATCTGATGGTGGAGCATTTAGAAGAGGCTCTAGAAGACAATCCAACATCCGAATCTGCCAGTCCCTCAGTTGCCGAGCTAACCACTAACCCATTGCTACGCACCACTACGCTCCCCAATAACGCACTATGTCAGCTTGATTGGTGATGAAACGCTTGCAATCAAATTGCACAGCCCAGTGAACAAGCCAACGACCATCTACGCTATCTGAGTTACCAACATTCTCCTCTATAGAAAAATGGTAACCCTTGGCGTCAGATCATCAAAGATCGCAATCCAGAGAGATCAAGGACAGAAGTCACTCCATCACTGACCATAGAACGAGGCCAAGCTCAAATGTCACTCGGTCATTGACCAATTACGATAACAGATCATTCAATGGAGCCACCTCACCGAACAACCAATCGTGATCGAATGTCAGACCCGCTTAGCAGCACGTATATTAACACACAGGCAGCACCAATCAGGGCACAATCACCGACCCATCGCTACGCTATTCTACGTCCCCTAACAACACACTGTTGATATCACCTCGATCGGTGATGAAATGTTTACAGTCGAATTGCCCAGCTTACCGAAAAACCAACAATCATCTAAGTTATCTGAGTTACCAACATTACTTTCAGTAGTAAAAATGTTATATCTTTTTCTTTATGTGCAGACAATATGGCTGACATTATGGCTGACATTGAAGCAGTCGAAAACCGAAAGAAAGCCGTGAATAGTAACATACGGGATCTATTATAAAACCACACAAAACTTTAAAGCAACCGTTAGCGAATTTGTGGCAAACAACCCCGTCTAGTTGTTTTATTGGTGAGTTCATCGCGCATCTACTTGCCTCAGGTTCTGTGTTTTCGAATTGTTATTTCTTTCCATTCCATTTAGACGACCAGAAAGGCTGTCCTTGGAAAACAGGGAAAGATTTGGATGGAACCCGGCCGTGGCTATTTCAAACCAAACGACAAGTACAAAGATGTCGTACTTGGATGGGCTAATCACCCGACCTCCATGGCGATCGTCCGAAAACATGCCAGGATGATACTTGTCATGGGGCATGAATTAATCCGAGAGATAGACAGTAATCCATTATACGAAGGACTGCGAGCCTCCTGCAAAGAATGGCTCACCAAAGGCTCGTCAACGGGGAAATACGTCAGAGTGAATGAAAATTACAGGCCGGGTGATGTACTATTAATCACAAGAGACGATCAGTTCGATGTTGACCAGATCTATTGTAAACTGTTATCTGGAAGAAACTCCGCTCTCATTGGCTATCCTAGACGAGACACAGAAGACAGTTTGTCCCAGCTGCTGAAGAAAATGAAAATTAGTTTTATTGAAACAACTGAAGAGTTACCACCACAGTTCATTTCTGTGAAAGGTTCAGCCGATAGTGATGCGTTCATACCTACAAGTTACTGGTTAGAGCGCTATGTGAAAAGCTGGAAGGCCTTTTGTACTGAGCAGTTCCAAGTGAGAAGTGAAGAACTTGGCATTGAACAGCAATATGTTGAGGACCAAGTGAAGGAGCTTGCTGAGAAATATGGATTCCTAATGGAGTATCTGGGACCATGCGATACGAAGAACTACGTCAAAGATGGAAGGTCGGCTACTGCTTTGTTAAACTACAATTTAGCCCTGAAGTACCAGTATGGTAGTGGAACTGGTATTGCTCTCCCAATAATCCACAGAAACCCCGGAACTATTCCTTCCATCACAAAGCCCATAAGAGTAATCGCAACGGTTTATGCGGATCTGCCTGGAAGTTTTTTCCCACTCGGTGTGTATGCAAAACCTGGCGAAGGATTCAGGTGGACAGTACTGGAGAATTCCGACGAAACATTCTCAAACCAGTGGATACGAATAAATGCACAAACTGATTTGATTGGTCACTTATCAAAGTGGAGTCGATGGCCCTCAGTTTCCACCGAGCTGTGCATTAGAAAACAAGGTCAGTATATCAGTCCCCATGGAGGACCATTATTCTTGGAGCTACCTCAGGGAGTTACTATAACGATCCAGCTAGAAAATGTATATCGGTACCCCTGGTTAGACCTCCGTAACCCGAAATCTATTGCTTCTTTTGAGCAGGAAATAAAAGTGTACTCAACCGTACCTTGGCTGGTCATCAGCGGCGATTCAATGAATTCAATGCTAAGGACAATTGACGTCTACAACTCGAAGGCGAGTGAGGTTATATCATCTGCCCGGCACTTTGACAATGCAATCAAGGTGATGCATAATTATAGAGGATCTCTTTGGGAACAAGCAAGTTCTGAAATGTTTGTGACTGATATACAAATCTCCGCCGGATATGGACATTCTGGCTACCCATTGATGGGTATTCTCTCATGGAGTAGAGTGTTCACTTTGTGGAGCAGTTCAATTAAGAAAGGGGGTCAACCGGGTTTTGTGAATACCATCGGCAAGAACCTTCAGGTCGTGGAGGCTACGCTAAAAGGAGGTGATGAAGTAACAAACGTCGTATACCAGCTGCTCGTAGGAGACGTGCTCTTGGGACTTAATCCGTATCAAGGAGACATGGACACTGGGAAATGGGGTTCATCAAAATACGATGGACCAGGCTTGGGATATTACAAGTACTTGGGCAAGCTTTTTGGGTACGGTCTGGTTGGAAATGGCTTCACGGAGGCTCGGAAAAATTCCCCACGAAACGAATCAGATAGAACCAATTTCTGGGTGAGGCAGATGTGTGTGGAGACAGGTTATAACCTGGTACCTTTTCACAGAATGTGGAATTTCCCCATTTCAGACGATACGCAAAAAGCGTGTGGTCGCCTGCCCTGTTTCTTCCCGGATGATGAGTATACAAAAAAATACAAGAAAAAAGTTGACGTCGTGCTGAAGGAGTTCCAAGGAAACTGCTTACGCAACGACCCGAACAAGGTGGTATTTCGGGGTGACATCAAACGCGGTGTCGATACGGTTCGTCCCCAAAACATTTTCTTAACATTTGAATAAGTTTTCCTTTTAACTACTCGGTTTGCCGCTGATATACAGAGATGAGTATATTGGTCCGTTTTTGTTTGATTTCTTTCTGTAAACAGCTTTTTTGTAACCTGCCCAAATGACTGTGTGAGGATGTGTTCATGAGATATAATGGGATACATGAGATTTATGTCTTTTGCATCACAAGTAGCGCTCGTTAAGGTGAATCCGGAGGACGAATGAATTGGGAACCTCTGAATCGAATATATTCTAAAGATCTGCATATGAAATGGCTGAAAAATGCAAGAGAATGGGCACACTGTTGGATTGCAGAATGAGAGAACTGCTATTCACTCTAACCAAGTCTGAGCTCTGGTCAATGTCGCAGGTTGAGTGGTTTTCTAAAAAGGTGCAAACAAGCATACTTTTCTGACTCAACGAAAAGTTAGATTTGCGTGGACACTATCATACAACACAGTTGAGCCGAGAAACAGCCGAACCGAACTTGCATCATTGCTCACTCAGTTAAGTCATGATGGCTTCGGATAGCTAGGGATCATGGTTGAATGCATTACACTAGAAGGAAAACGAGCGTCAGCCGGCATGTTTCACACGTTCGAACATGAATTCAATTTTCCCGCTAGGTCTCCTTTTTCTATGAATGCAACCGTTTGAACAGGTGAGCAAGTCCCTCAAAATAACGGGCATTTCAATGTGATCAAAACGAAGCAAAACTATTTGTATTCCTCTTTGATGCCAGCTATCAGTATGTCCATTCAGGACCGATCTGCCGCGTGTTTACATCTTGGTTCAAACCGAAACAAAACTCACATCTTTACGTCATTGAAAGTCTTCAAAAGGATCTTCGTTATGTTGTGACCGTTCGTTATGTTGTGATCGTCCGCAGCAGAAGTTGTAATAACCATATTGTCTCTCTCCAGACTCTCACTGCATATCTGTAGGAAAACGGACCGTTTGACAAACCCATGCCCAAAAGAATGATTTCCTTTCAAGCCCATTTTAACCACCCAATCTGTAACACGAATGGCCTCCGATTTTGTGACGAGTGCCATCCACGCGAAGCTGGATTGCTGTACATAACAAACGCGCGAACGGTTGCTGCAAAAGTCCGACAAAAGCGTAAACATTAGACAATTTGATTAGCCTTACGATGAACTGTGGGGCTGTTGGGACAGTCAGTTTCAATAGAACACCACTAGTTGTCAGTAAACGTTTATCCCATCGGCTATCAGTAAATTCACACAAAACTCCAACAAATTGGCATACAGCACAAAACCGATTAATCCCTGGAGGAGCGAAAATATGCAATCATTTGTATGACGCAAAATCTCAAGTGCACCTGCACACTATTGATGAGCACTTGTGTTCTACCTTGATTCGCATCCAACCTTCAGCTAAGCGCAACTTTACTTCATGTGCTCTGCGCGAAACGTAGGGAGAGTTAAATGGGCTTATTCAAGTTGTAATAAGTTGATAATTAAAAGGAAAAGCAGAGTCTTCAGCTAAGCGCAACTTTACTCCATGTGCTCTGCGCGAAACGTAGAGAGAGTCAAATGGGCTTCTTCAAGTTGTGATAAGTTGATAATTAAAAGGAAAAGCAGAGGTTGTATGGAATCAGTAATCTGGAATTACATTGTGTGCAACTTGCCCGAGTTTATCTGGCAGAAGTAAGTGCTGCATGAATCACTGCATTCACGTTACCTCGAATCAGAGAATGTTACCTGAAAATCAAATAAAAATTACATTCTGTTGAAGAATGCCATGAACGAGAGATTCATCTAGGTTTTAAGTGGGTCTCCCATGAAAACCAAATTCGTATGCGATTGAGTGTATCTGTCGAACTTCGGGCCATCTGGATTGAAGTAGAACATAAGATTGACGGAAACTCGAGAGCTGGGCCTGTCTGATGAGCGCGAAATGAAAGGACGCAACCGATTGTGGGCTGTTGGATTTATCATCAACCTTGTGAGTAGCTTCATTCAAGAAAATGAATTTGGTTCATTTTCTAGAGATAAAGGGATAGCAATTTTTGAAGAGGAGGATGTATCAGCACATTATCCGAAGTTCAGATGCATGTATGTGAGGATCCCCAATGTTATTTAAGAAGAAGTTCCATGAACAACATTCGATTGCTAGCGTACACCACTGCGTTCGCTAAGGTCTATTCAAGTATGCCACTCGCTCATCATTATTGTCGTTCTCATCACCATCATCATCTATGGCAACGCACCGGAAGTGTGTACTATCCACATGTGTGCACTAGTACGTGAGCACTATACAACCACGAGAAATGAGTCCTGTTTAATAGAATATAAATGGAAGTAATAGGCAATTATCTTAGCAATTCATCAAAGGAGACGTATGCTAATTTGCAAACTATACCAGGAGAAGTGTACCTGAATATTGCGGTGAAACAAAATGCCATCAGCTGGATCAGCGAAGTACGTTTCGCGAACTTCAGTCAACACATGTCCGGCACACCACGTTTGACAGTTGCTGACTAGACAGTGCTGGCAAAACGCTCTGGGGGATTTCCAGCTCCATTCCAAGAGAACCACACCCGACAGGAAGGCGTGAAGGTTTCAGTTGGCTCAATTGTATGCTAGAAGCTCCCATTTCCTCCTGCTTTTCATGAACTTTTCAGGCCTTCACTCACTCGAGTTTTAGGTACAAAGGACAACCATTTTGTATAGACGATGCTTAACCAGCGCATTGCACCGAAAACCTTTTCGCCTGAGGAATTTCCGCACATGATCAACTACCCGCTTGCGCCTCACTACGTGGTGGGTTTGCCGCAGCCAGAAACGTCTAAAATCTCACGAAACCATGGATGGTAAAGTGCTTGTGTATGCCTGATAGTTCAAAGGACTATAACTTTTGTATACCTCTGGATGACTAAACAAAAGAAAAACAAAAGAAGAAGCTATCTCAAAAGAGAGGACCAGCCGGACACAGAACATTATATTAAACATGGGAATTCCGGACCGAATTCGGCTCGGATAGCTTTAAAAAGATTGAGTGCCATGTGGTGTGTGATTTGGAGTTTTTTTTGTCAAAACAAGCATGAAGTACTAAGATGCTATAATCCACGACGCCGTGTTTCGACTTTAAAAAGCTCCGTATGGTACCGGGCATCTCGAATTGACTGAAGGATGCCGGCACCATTACCCAGATTATGATTGAGAACATTAATTTTCAGGACCGGGTGCTTCTTAGACCCTGAGACCCAAAATCCCTGAGCTAGGCCGTCCGGTTGGAAACCTCCTCGATACGTTCAGATCCATATATTATTCCACGGCTCAAAGGCTAGCAGAAATCCTTGGAGCCTTCTTGAAACGCATCACCTTCAATATGCGTTTATATTCGTAGACGGAAGTCAACATGGCCATGGAATTAAAGCCCATAGCTCTCTTAGAATTATCGTCCTTGTTCGCCAATATTCCATTCACAGGAACAGGCAGAACAAAAATCAACCACTGTTGGCAGAACGGTTGGGGCTTCACGCACCAGCCGGGAGGCTGAGTTCAAATTTCGGTGAAAGTTCATGAGATGCGCACTGTTGATGATTCCAACTTAGACTGAAACAGCTGTACATTGCTACTCGGCTTTTCGTTATATACTGACTTCAGCTGACCCTATGTGAAACGTCAATCTAATTGTCTCTAAACTTTTCGTACTATAAAAAATACAGCACTGTGCTTCCCTGCTCAGTTTGAACAAGGTAATGAGGATAACAAGGCTGCAGTTTGGATCCATTTCGTATACTCCATCGCAAAATGTGTAAAACAAGGTAAGACACAATATAAAGCAGCTTGCAACATTCATACATGTATCTGATTAAGAAAACCAAGGCAGTTTCTGGGTGACCCATAGGTCTTTACGAGTGCGAATGAAATGCTTAAGAAGGCTAATCAATGTGGCCTCAATCAACGTCAACATCTTTCGCGGCCTGTCTCATGATACGACCCGGAACGATGGCTTGTGTCGATCAGATGCCTAGCGATCGGCGACTTGACCCTTGTTTTAATCAGCGTTGGGTTACGATAGGCTGACGTAGTACGGTGTATTAGGGCACGTGCTCCTTTGCTGGTGTTTGAAGTCTTCAACTGCATGCGAACTGATAAGTGCGATGAGTTGTAGATAAAACTGAAGTCGGTATTTCGATTGGCTGAAGTGGTGTAGCTCATCTATATGATTACGTACACGTCTGCGCTGCAGTGTACGCCCAATTCAGAGATACGTTTGGTGTCCGTTTAAATAGGCTGATAGCGTGATCACGAGTGTAGGAGAAATCAGGGTAAATGTCATTTTTCGGTACTGTTTACGGTTCATCACTCGCATCTAAGTGCTTTCTGATGATGCGGTCAGAGTAGTTAATCGGCCGCAGTACATTTTTCAGAAATTCAGTTTCCTTCGCGAGTTTATCCGAGGTGCAAGTTTGTCTAGCTGTATGGAATGTAATCTGCACCAATGCACGTTTGTACTGAAAGTCGTCAAGTGTGGGTACTGTCCAGTTTACGTAGTTCACCGGTTAGAGTCGTTCGAATCCAACTCCAGTATTTTGGTTTTTGTTGTCTAGTCTTGGGAAACCTGCAAGTCTCTCAGCCCTCGTGCTTCCTCGGGTGGTATGGCATCTAGGCACCGAAAGGCTGCTACAGTTCCGTGGTTATCATTTTATTATTTCCGATGCACAGAGTGACAATGCCCCCGTTTTTTCTGGTGATCAAAACGTCCAAAAAGGAAGTTCTCCTGATTTTCAATATCTTCATGGCAGGTCAATAGATAACTTCTGTGAAGGTCCAATTGCAGTCACTGAAAGGCCTACTTCTTAAAAATTCTACTCAGACAGGTTAATTTCAAGAAGTATGTTGACAATCATCAAGAAAACGAAACTGGCCAATTCAAAAGAGAAGTCTATTGTTGTCGGTCTTTGGTTCAAATGGGATCCAGCTACGAACCATATGACCTGGCCCATGCATTACCCAGGTCGGCAAAGCTTCCGGTCACCTCGCCCAGAAAATGGTCTAGAATTACTCTGTTGATGAACAGAGCTATCAAAGATGCCCAAAGCATCATAGTTCACTCCCTCACGCCGTGTCTACGGTGGAATGTATAGGTCATACAACGCAAAGTTAAGCAGAGGAGTTAAAAAGCACGATGAGTTTCGGCTGCCAACCAAACACTGTTACAAACGCGGTATCGCTCATTTGGATGGAACAACACCGGTTTTAGGTCATTTTAGAAGTCGCGTGTCTCTCTATTGAGAACATTTCAACACCAATGTTCGGTCATGTCTGAGGCAGTTGCGATTCTCTTACGCAACCCCAGTCTGTGCGCTTAAAAGGCTTTTGTACGCTAACTGAGATTCCCAAGGTGTGCCTTAAAGACCGCCGGCCTCAAAGGACAATCGATCAGTTTTCGCATGTTCACTCACAAACTCTGATCTTGGCCTTATTTTTATTGTCTGCATCGTTACTTTTCGGTGGTAAACGAGCTTTGACTCTCATCTTTTGTTAAGCAAGTTAATGTAAACAGTTTGGGTACTTGCATGAAATATGAATATGATCAACAGATCTTTCGATTATTTCCGGATATTTAATGGTATGAAAATGCCAGAATTATGATCCATCTGGTCTGATCTGGTAGACTCCATTTCTCTTGAGATGAAGTTGGAAGTTACCCCGGGTCCCACCGCAGGATTGACATTCAGGACTAGTAGTTACAAGCAACTTCCAAGTCGTAACTGATCCAACCTGAGCTTTTCTAGACTACACCGACACTTGGCAAGTGATGCTGACGTTGGAGAGAGCGCGACACTTATGTTTCCGCTGAATCCCACCAATTAATCATACTTGATTTGGTCAGTAGTCCGAGTTTGTGGTTTGCAGAACGTACGAGAATCGGTCTGATGTGTTTTTTCGACCGCTATCTGGAA